CCTTATGATGGTATTAATTTTCATAAATTTATACTATATAGCATGATAATCTGCTATACATATTGATTTTTAGAAATAAAGAAGTTTTGTGCGGTTTAGATAGAATAAATGCCAACTGTTCGTATTTATAATATATTATAAGAATGCTCTTAATGTCATGTATTTGTGATTCATGATTGTATTATTTCTGAGTAATGATAATTAAATGAAATAGCAATAGGCTGATTAATATCATTGTTGTTGTTTGTTACGATTGCAAATGAATATATATTAAACAGGAAGTAATTGCTATTGGACTTAAATAAATATTAACATACTAAATAGATAATTCCTAGATATAATAAAATAGATCAGGATATTTTTAAATCTGTTTGTTAAAAAAGATTGTTAAATTAATAAATATAAATATCCATGCATTATAGCTATATATATATTATAAAATAACTAAGTAAAAAGTAATTTAATAAAGTAACAAAGAAGTTTACACAAGAATGAATATTTTATAATTTTTAATTCTTATTTTTTAAATTTAAATATTCAAATTGTATTTAATTAATATTTTTAGAATTATCTGCTTGCTTTAACAATGTAAATAATTGAAAAATTGTCAACAATACAGTTACATATTTACTTGATATGCATTTATTTGCCGAATCATATAATTATGTTTTAATATACGTATAAAAATATTATTGAATGCAATTTTGTCTGAAAATGATACAAGTATTTTAATAGAAAATTTATGTAGATGTGGTTAGCGTACTGAGATCCAGCTAATTTCTCTTATTAGTGAGCTATATAACCACGTTGGTATACTTTCATTTAAAAATATATCTATTTCATTCACCCATGTGATTTAACGTGCGGTTAAATTGGTTAAATTGCAAGATCCTGTATTCTTTTTACCTTAAAGTCTGTTTTCTACTGTATATTGACATTTTAAAAAAATTTGATCTTTATATCGTCTATTACCCAAAGAAAATTTATTGAATTTCGAATAATATTCGATAAATAAAACAATCTGACACTTTGCAAGTTGAAGAAGCAAAAAAAAAAAAAAATAATAATAATAATAAGGAAACGATATATTCAACGGTGATTCAATCACCGGGAATTCGGATGGTTTGAGACGCCCACGTAAGAGACACCAAAGATTTATCTCTGCGTATAATGTAGAAAAACCGTTATACTAACACAAAACCCCCTTCACGAAAGCCCCATCTATCAGCGAGATCTAGCTAAATCGCAAATCCCTATTTGTTAGAAATCTCAGTAATACGGTATATGCGGAACCGAGCTCGGATGTCGAAATAACCGTTTGCTCAATGTATCTTCCCTCCTTTAGATATGATGTATGCGCCAGTCGATAATGAAATATTTACGTCGATTCATGCGTAAATTGAACTTATTGCAAAATCTTAATTAATCTCTTTACAATATTATAAATCAAGTGTATCGAAAGTACGTATTAACTATTATTTTCATCATAATTTCATAGATTTCGATTCAATGAATTATTCAAACGATTCGCTTTTTCGTCAATGTTTTAACTATATGTTTTATCTATCAATGAAACCATATAAATATCACAATATAACTGTGCAAATAAATATTTTATTTAACGCCAATATGGAACTACAATGCGTAATCGCTCATTCGCCTTATTCCTCTTATTACCTTAAAGTATTTTTCGAGCATTTGTAAAATGTTGCTCCATACAATGCCAAATGTTCCATCAGATGGCAAATAATCATAAGTACAGAACAACGATAAACTTGGCACGTAATCAGGAAATACCCTGACGTGAAATAGACGAATAGCATAAAAGTATTTTTAATCATGTCTTGTCATTGAAAATTATCCTTACTTCGAATAAATCGATAAATAGAACATTATAATTAAATTAAACATTTTTTTTACTTACTACTATTATTGTCATGATATTGTAATTATCTAAACAAAAATATTAAATATATTTTTCGTATTTCAGGTAGTATTCAAATCGAAAAGAATTACTTATACTTCAATTTATTTTGAATATCATTTTAAATTTTAATGCAAAGTTGATCGATCACTTAATGGAAAAATTCTCATATTCCCGTTTTTAAATATATATATATATATATATATATATATATATATATAAATCAAATAAAAAAAAAAATAAAATAAAAAACCTCGATTTGACATAAATGCGTCTGTAATCTGTATGTTTACATGTATATATGCTACATGCCTATGTGGTTGCAGTGACAGTTTCGAATATCTAGACGAGTTAGTTTCCACGTAAATGACAGTACCAAAATACAAAATTTTATATGATAGATATTGATTAACCGTTACATTCGTTTCAATGATAAATACGCAGTTATTTGCAATTACATAGTGGATATATTGAAATAACAATGTAGGCTAATAATTTAATTATTAATTCGAATAGTAATAATTCTAAATAGAAATAAGATTTGAAAAGAACAATTTTCATTCCCATTTTATATACGCAATATTTATATATTTCTATAAAAATATGCTTTAAATATCTAAAATTGGATTTCTTTATTTTTTCATGTTATTTAGTCTGGATAATTAAGACCTTCAATGTTGCAATTAAGTACCATATTACGTGTATTCATGTTATTTTTTTCATGATAAATTATTTCTCTATGATTCTAATATAAAAATATGTTAAAAACGAATTCAATGAAATTTAAAGACAAAATAAATTTATGAATAAATTATCTACGATAAAATTAATTTCAGAATTTTTTTCTTTGATATTACTAGTTATATATTTTATAATATAATTAATTATAATGTTTTCTACAATTTTAAAATAATAATAATTTTATACGAATCCTACTTTTATCAGTCAAGTCTATATATACGGACAAAAATAATCATTAATAATTAACAGTATAAATAATTAATATAATTTGCTAATATATATGGTAAATAAATAATTGAAACGTTGTATAAATATCATTGGATTAAAAAATTGAAGATATTAAAGTTAGTAGCGAGATAAATTATGTATAATACGTTAACATCAAATAAACTAATTTACCTTTTCGTTTCAGTCGCATACGTAATGAATTATTAATAAAAAAAAAAAAAAAAAAAAAAAAAAAATTCAAACGAAAACGATAGAATATTTTACTATTGAATAAAATTATAATAGGAGATTAATATAAATAATAAATCTTTTTAACATTATAAATATTTTTATATAAACATATTTATAAAAATTTGTGAAGGAACGCATGTGTAATTGTAAACATAATTTAACTACAAAAGTCATTGACTGAAATTTTAAATTATATATACATAAAAATTGAATGTAAAACACATTTCTAAATTATTCATAAAGATGATAGAAAGTATTTTATTTTTTCAACCTATATATAAATGTTCGTACGTATCTGTGCGCGCGCGCGCGCGCGTGTGTACATACGTATACGCGTACGCGGGCGCACGTATGGATTAGTATATGTGTGCCTATATAAGTTTAATTCGCTACAGATTAAGATCATGCATTTACTTATATCACGTATACCTACTAAAGTTTTTGCAATTGCTTTCCTTTTTCTTTTTTTATTCCCACGAGATTTCAAGTGATTGTATAGTTTGATTTAAAGTATAGGATTGTCTATTGATATGTAAGTTTGCATCTTTAAAGAAAAATATAAAGTAATATAATTTGATTTTTTTCTCAATTTAATTGTAAATAACAATTATTACAAGATCATTATTTTAATGGCACTCAATAATCGATGTAAAATATTAAAATATCGTAATGTTTTTTTACAGTTAAACGATTTTCTAGTATCAATTATTTTTATTGGCAAGTAGTTTTCTTAAATATCAGTACAAAACAATGGCGATGACTTTTGACTCAAATTGATTAAGTAAATTATTTTCATGCTATTGCCTAGTGAGTATATTTAACTCGTTATTTTAATAGTAATTATGCAAATATCTCAGCTAGATATATAATTTTTTTTTTTATATATATACAGTGTTTTAAGATAAATTATGTTGGTATGGTAAATATTAATATTATAAAAAAATTGTCTACAAAATTTATGTAATCACTGTAAAACCGTTTAATTTTATTTCAATTCCTCATCCAAGTTTAACTGATTCTTCATCCTTTACTTTTCTTTTTTTCTTTTTCTTGAATTATAAACATTATATATAATACTCAAAGTACGATAAAGTTATTTGAAAATCTTTTTTTAAATTTAATAGTGATTTTATAGATCTTTTATATTAATACACATGAAAATATATGGGCTATTGTCCGTAATAAAATGAAAAAAAAATTGATCTGAAGCACACAACACACACACACACACACACACAACACACACACGCACACAAAATGAAGAATTATTGATGTTGTAAATTAATAAGGTTATATACAAAGATGAGAATATTTTATTTTAAATAGTAAATTTTAATAATTACATAAAAAAGCCACAATATTTTAGAACAAAGAAGAAAATGCTACATTTTCGTGAATAAATAAATAAATAACTAAATAAATAAAATTTTTAAACTTATTGCATTCGATAGTCAAATGTTCTTAATGCGTAAAAAAAAAAATCATAAGCATCATTAAACATTTTCTATTGTTTGTTATTTTTGAATATTTTTGTACTTACTTTAACTATTTTAACTCAAAGTTGTATTATAGAATTAGTCGTTTTGAATATGATAAACAAGAAATCAGCAATTGAACGCCTAATAAGTGACGCAAGATCGATTGTATCGATAATGCCCTGGGCTGCTTATAAAATCCTTAACCGATGAGCAAATGATTAAGACTCGATTATTAAAAGGAACGCGGTGAAAATATCGATTAAAATCTGCAAATACTATGAGAGAAATGATTTTGGAATGGGAATCGGTGTCGCGGTCGGATTTAAAATCGGCTCGGAGAATGCACCAGTGGAGGAAAAGCACCCGTTAAAATGTATCAAAGGAGCAGGGAAACTCACTTCTCAATAGTCCAAGTTCCCGGCGATAATCGAACTCTCTCGTCAATGCCTCGCGCCTGATTATCAGCCGGACGTTAGGAGTCTCGCAGTATTCATCCAGGTGCAATGGGAGTAATTGTGATCGCGTGCGGTATCGCACGAGTCAAGAACAATGCTATGTTCTCTCTACTCGCGGCAGTTCTCGCGGTCTACGCGACCAGCAGTCGACTAGGCTGCTTACATTCTCCATCGCGCTTGTAATATTCGACACTCGCGCTCACTCTCCACCACCTTTCCGTCTTTTCTCACTCCCTCTCCCTCTCCCTCGCGCGCTCACGCACTCACACGCACGACACACACACGCACGACACACGACACACGACACACACACGACACACACACGACACACGACACACGACACACACACGACACGTACGACACACAACACACGCAAACGACACACGCACACGCGCAAACGACACACGCACACGTCAGATAGTAATGCGCAAGCATGCACGGGCGCGCACATAAACATAGACACAGATACGGGTACCGATGCACACACCTTTACACGTGAAATCTCTCTCTGCTCTCTGCTCTCTGCTCTCTGCTCTCTCTCTCTCTCTCTCTCTCTGCTCTCTGCTCTCTGCTCTCTCTCTCTGCTCTCTCTCTCTCTCTCGCACTATCTCTATCTCTCTTCCTGTAGCCTAGCCAAGAGATGGCGAACAGTCGAACCGCTACCGAAGTGCGCCAAGCCCTTTTTCTTTTTCCCTCGCGATGCTCCAACTCCTCTCCACTCTCAGAATACAAATGTTGACTTGGCTTTACGTGCGTACATCCAGTCGATTGATGGGTACAGTCAATTGAAACGTATGTCTGTTGATTACGGATAGACGTCTTTGACCTGAGAGAATCACACTTTGATCCCATCATTCGTCCCGCACGTAACTTTCCGTTATTTCGACTCGTTATATTGGCACAGGCCCCTTACGTTCATTTACATGGAAATTCTCTCCTACTCCTGGCATCCTTGCATCCTTTTTTTCAAATCATCGGGCTTTTCCAAATGACGAACTTACCTTACCTCGATTTGGCGATACGACCGTTTGCGCAACTATTCTCAAAACACACGCACGCGCACATAATAGTCTTAATAAAATATAAAATTATTAACAATTCTCGAACAAAGAAGTAAGTTTTATGTTCAAGACCATTATGTTTCATTGCTTAGAATTCGCTTAATTTCACTGGCGCTTACACACTACGTTTTAAAATATTATCATAATAACATGCAAATAAATGACAAAGTATAAGTTTGGAAGATAATGATAAATTAATCAATAATGTGTATTTGATTGGTTAATTTTAATTTTATTTGAACTTCAATTATTTCGCGTTCTAATACGAAATAACTTGTTCAATAACAACTTTTTTCCCCAACACTTTTCCCACAATCTTTATACCAGACTCGTAATTTTAAAGCCATTTAAGATATTTAAATATATATATATATATATATATATATATATCACTAATACTCATAAAACTTAAATACACCTGAAAGTCTTATACTCATAGATAGAGTATAAGTGTTTCGGATGTTTTTCGTAATACGTACCATGTAAAGTTTGACTTTTATTTTGACATAGAAATTACTTGCCTTTGCTGAAACGATCTTCATAATAACAACTAACAATCAAACAATGCTAAAAAGCTTGATTATTATCTAAGGATAATTAAATACTCAAAATTTTATGTTCTATAATGCATTTAAATGAAAAAAAAAAAAAAAAAAAAAAAAAAAAAAAAAACAATTATTCAATGACATTTTTAATTAATGTACTTTCTGTTTAACAGAGCAAAAGAAAAGGAAGCAAATGTCTTGAAATTACACTATTTGATACCTATCAGATGCGTATATGAAAAGTTACGTAATTATCTTCACCTACGCGAATCAATTTCAATACAAACATTACAATTACCGAGATATTAATTTCAAACGAAGAATGATAGTAGCTCACAAAAAAAAAATAAAAAAAAAAATAAATAAATAAATAAATAAATAAATAAAAATATTTAAGCCGACAATAACGACGACAATATTATTAATTTATGTTAACTTAATTCTTGTAATATTTGTTTTAGTGGTAATTTTTTTGTAAATGTAGCGACATCAATCGATGAAAATAAGTCCTATTGATCTAATTAATGTTTACATTTATTTATAAGTAAATACAAGGTCGAGACCATTTTATTAGTTATTTAACGAAAGCAAAATTGAATTGTACTAATTTATTTTATTTTTTTAATGAAAACAAAGTATTTGCATTTATAAAGGAATCATATCAAATTTACAGAATTAATATACAATGAAAATATATATTGATAAATTGTTTATTTTATAATTATATTTCTATTGTTATATAACAAAATCGAAAATGTTATTACAGATTTACAATTTTAATACATAACGAATTTATGAAAAATATTTAAAGAGAATTACTTTTTATTCGTTCTTATATCGTTCTTATAATAATAATAACAACAACAACAACAACAACAACAACAACAACAGCAACAATAATAATAATAATAATAATAATAATAAATATTTTTAATAATAATTAATAATATTAATAATAATAATAAATATTATTATTATTATTATTAAGGAAAGTTTGTTAAAAATATAGCCTTTGGTCATAACTTTTCCTCGACTTTATACAAAGTGTCAAAACATCTTAAAACTTGCTATGACTATTCATTACTTGAAAGTTAGAAGACAAGTTTCAGACGGCTCGATTGATTAATCACCACAACCAGCACTACCATTGATTTTTCAACTTTTTAAAACTAAAATAACTTATTATTGTTCGTGTGATTTATATTTATAAAACGGTAATTATAATTGTTGTCTAAGTGATGGTGATATATATATATATATATATATATATATATATATATATATATAGGTGAGATGTTTTATTACGTATTAACGCTGGTAATGCCCCGGAACATTCTTATTATGTAGAGAAAAATCAAGTACTTTACAAGTCTTTGCCAGTCACTTGACATATTTTTTGTTTCAGACTTCAACGCCACAACCCACCTTTCATTATGGTTCGAGCGTCACGCTTATACGCATCTCACGCATTTTAACATGAGAAGGATAAAAAGAAGTGCAGGGATATAAGCTTAAAACTGCGTTACTCACCCGTGTCGTTGAACCCTCGCGAGCATGCCAAACCACAGCGATGAGCATAACCATATTGTAGGTTTGCTCAAGCGTTTTACACGAAAATTACAAGAAGATTGCTCACCGTACATATATTTGCTGACGTTCGAGCGCGAAAATATTTTGCTATATTGAATGATCCGAGAGAATTCGAATCCTAGGGAGAAAAAAAGGAAAAATACGTGATTTATTTGTTTAAATAGATAACATGTTAATTATTCGTTGTTTATATTGGAAGGAGAAAAGAAAATAAAAAAAAAAAAAAAAAAAAAAAAAAAAAAAAAAAAATGCTGACTTAATATGGGTATTCTATATGTTATTTTGAAGGTTCGTTTCTGCTCCCATTGATTTCATTCCAGCAATCAAAAATAAAAATTTAATTGTCTTAAAAGGAAATTCATTTATGTTGATTTAATTTTACACTTTTCTTTTCATATTTTCTAGAATATTTCATAAATTATCCACACGCTTACGCTATGATTTTTATAAAATTATTTATATTTCGTATTTTTCTCGATTCAAATGATGCCCGCATTATTTGATATAAAACACATCAATTCGAACGTGCATGAAGAATTTATGAAAACATTTCAGGAATAGATTTGATATTTTTATCGATTGTCATGGTTATTTTAAAAATAAAATCGTATTTATAGAATTGTATTATCTATTCTATCACTATATTGCTTTTATTATTTTCATTGAAAATATTTAATATATTCTTTCGATTTTCAAATGGAAATATCTAAATAGTAATAATAAAGAATAGAAATAATAAAATGAAAAAATCGGACAATTTTCCGATTAACGTGATTCTATATATATATATATATTTTTTTTTAAAATTATTATTTTAAAAATGTTTATTTTTTTTTTAAATTATTTTAAACTTTGGGAGAGTAAGGATATAAATGAGAGTTTTATGAATAAATTTTCAGCCAAGATAAATGGAGAAATAAGATTTAAAAAAAGCGTTAGAGTTTGATTTTAAAATACTTGCGATAATAATAATATATGCAAATTTTATTTGCAGTTAATTCATCGCCTAAGCAATAGTAATAGCAGAGAAACTAGTAGTCCTAAAGTAATAAAGAGTGACTATTTTGTACAAGTGCTTATACTATCTTATAAAACTTTTATTATTTTTATGAAAATGTTGTTTTATATCGCAAAAAATTTATGACTTCATTTGGATAAAATAGGTTGTAATATAAAAGTTATTTTGCTACATTTTCGATAAAAACATGTTTTAATAGTTATTTGTCAATTGTAAAGACGTATTGCATCAATTATATACTATCCACGTGGTTCGTACTCGTATTACTTATTATTTATTTTATGTAAATTTATCAAAAAATTTTACTATCAATGCACCTATAAGATATATAAATGTATTTATACTTGCGCGTTATATCTATATTAAATTGAATTATTTGAATTGTAAATATTTTATTTTTCGTAATCAATGAATTATTCTTCTTTCATATAGCACATGTCTTTTTCATCATTTGAATTAAAAAATATTATAACAACTATAAATAATTATTTTTATTGTTAGATTAAATGCAAATAAATTTCTTATATAATTGTTTATTACATTATATTATCGAACTTTAATTATTCTAACATAATTAATACTTACAATTTACTTGATTACAATAAATTATTGAAATATAAATTATTACTTATGGATTACCCCATATATTTTTACTTGTAAATACAATAGTTATAATATATTTATATGTATTTTGTATATATTTATATTTATAAAATATAAGTATGAGAAATCTAGATTTTGAGAAAATAAATTATTTTACTTTATATGTATGCTCTTCAATATAATGCCATTGTTCCATGAAAATTGTTTATTGAGAGATTAAGAAAAATATGTTTTATTTATCTATTTTAACCAAATTCATTATTCAACAATATTTAAATTCTTCGAAAGTATATTATTATAAAGATATTTAATTGAGATT